GACAATTCTTTTGTTTTGGCAATACCATCAAGCAAATTAATAAATTACAGTTCTATAATGATTTTTATAATGACATTACCTTTACCACATAAACTATATACATAACTCCAAGTAAATTATTGTAGTATACCATTTATTTCCATATTTTTCTCACTGAAGCACAGAAATGGAACTTGATATACTACATCTATTTGATTATAAAAATAAAGATTAAAGCGGGCATATTACTTTTTGCACTTAAACGGTAGAAGTTTCTGCATTTTCGTATAAAAGAGAGAAGTCTATATGGCTATATCACTTATGTCGATGAGCCTAGATTACAATGAAGCGGATTAAACAGATATACCTTGAAGCTGCTATCATAAACGTTACAGTGTATAACAAATACATCTGTCATTTTGTGTATGGGCACATAGTGGTAATATCTCACAGCGAGGTGAATCCGGCTAGTTTCAACTATTTGTTTTTCTTGCGTAGAAATTCCAAACAAGAACAAAATTGGCATGTATTGCCAAAGAATTGTATGCTGTAATGATTCTTCTTCAGTACCACTTTCAGAAGTAGGATCACGTTACCAGAAAGAAAATCAAAGTTCTTCTAATAATGGTTGAAATGGAAGCGGGAAAATCCCTGTGTTTCCTAGAAGAATCTACTAATGTTCCACTGTGTAGGAGCTGTCATGCCATTGGATTTCCTAAATCCATCTACATTACCAGATTATGTTCCAAAGTGCTGAAAATTCAATTCACCATGATGGGCAAGAGAAAACAAAGTCGTCTAAAACTTTGCTTACCCTCGAATAAACTACAGGTCGACTGAGATTCCAGTCGTCCTTAGCACACCTAGAAATTTCATCCCTCTCCATCTTACACTTCACTACTGACTTGCAGTCCAAGCTCTTCTAAGTTCCAGCCGACAATAAGCATATTTTGACTCCAATTTTCCATTGAAACTACCAATGTGGTTTAAGCATAGTAATTGATTTAACTGTCTCTATAATTACAATTATTCTATGCAGCGAGTGCGATGAATTTCGTCACCACCTGATATTTATTCTACTTACAAGATTGCACACTAGACCCAGCAAACAAAAGAGAAGGCACATAAACTAAAGGTCGAATAGAGATTCCAATAGTCATTCGCACGCCTGGAAAAATCCATCCCACTGTCAGCTTGCAGTCCAAGTTCTTGTAGGTTCCAGCCGACATTAAGCATATACTGTCTCTAACTTTGCAATAAAACTACCTTCAGTTTAAGTATAATTGCTATAGCTGTCTCTGTAACTATTATGCTGTGAGTGCTACGAATTTCGCCACCCCATTTGATACATAAATCTAGTACAAACTAGACCCACAACTGAAGAGAAGGAAGAGGAAATGCAGAGAATGTTCGAGGTCCACTCACAAGGCCCATGAGCGCAGATCCGGAGGCCCCTCCAAGGACGGAGCCTTTGCTCCCCGACCGCGCATCTGCGCAAAAGCGAGAAACAGAAATCAACGGTCAAAGAAGAAGGAAATCACGACAGCAAATGCGCATTGCGTCATCGCGAGACCGGACGCACGTACATGCGAAAGCGCCGCCGCCCACGAGGAGGGCGCCGTAGGCGGCGGACACCGCGGGCGCGATCTCGGACACCGAGGCGCAGCGCAGGACCGCGCCGCGGCGGCGGCCGCCGCCAGGGCGGGCCACAGGAGGCGGCGAGGGGAGGGAGGCTGGAAGGCGGAGAGGGCGGGAGGTGGCGGTGGTGGCCAGGGTGGACGTCATTTTTCTCCGGCGACCGGGCAGTCGCTGTCGACGGACTCGGGGGGAATGCGGTGACGTGTGAGGCCCCGGGGCTGGGAGGTTCTATCGCTTTCCACTACACCACTATCCGGGAGCGGCCGGGGGTTGTCCGGTCTGCAGTCGTAAAGGCGACGAGGCCTTTTGCATTTCGGGCAAGGGGAAAGTCAGAGTGGAGGATTGTGTTTTGTTTCTGAACTCCGATGAGGTGCGGTCCGGTGCACGTTTTAGTCGATGGGTTTTTTGCACGCACGGCACGGTCCAAAGTCCAAACTTGCGACCTCTGGCGTTTGGTCCGGTTTCTTCTTCTTCTTGCTGGGTTTGGTTTGACGGGAAAATTTTGAAACCAGATGCGTAATTGGAGCAGCGCCGCGGTTGACGTCAAAGCCTGTGCAGATGCGATTAAGGAGAGACATGGTTAGGAGCGCTTTTGAATTTCTTGTTGAGGTCGTTGTCTCGTGCAGATATGCGGCTACAAGCATGGTCAAGCTGACCCAGTCTTGTGTTACAAAATATAGTTAGATAATTTGATCTTCCCATGCCTGCTTTTTATCGTGGTTAATAATGACTGATGTATAACAAATCAGACCAACCTTCCCAAACTCCATCCATCCATCCATCATCATGGTTGGAGGGCTAGCACTGGTACCCCTTCTGGAATTGATCCACTAGGGTTTCTCATGCCTTCTGTCGGAGGCGGCACCGACCTGCCTTGTCTCATGTGGTCTTGGGGCTATGGAGGCGTGGTGGATCCTGGTCCTTGCCAGCGGGGGGTTTACTTTTAATTTTATTACGGTTTGTGTCCTACTCGGACAGGCGCATTTCTTGAGAACTTTTTAGGTCGGAGCAAAAATAAAGGTTGAATGGCAATGAAAAGGGGTGACCAGGGGCTCCACGCGGCCCAGGGGTGCGTGGAGGCCCGGTGGGCCCCCTCCGACCTATCTTCTGGCTCCTGTCTTATTTTTCTTTTGAAAATTTCTTGGTGTTTTTGGAGCTCGAGATAATTGCTTTTTATTATGAAGTATTTTTTCTCCTATTTTCCATTGTCCAGCAATTTCTGATAATCTCCCTCTCTGTGTGTTATATTCAAATTGAAGATAAAAATACATTATAATCGAGCAATAATGTGTAAAATAATGGTACAAAGTGGACGTATAAGGGGCCGTATGGGAACACTTGCCGCCCCAACTAATCTCTCTCTCCCTCATCCGATCAGTGTTTGCCACGTCAACACATGGGTTATATTCCATAAGATTGAATCGATAACTCTAGCAACTCTCTGATACTGTCAGTACAGTAGGTTAACAAGTTAAGGTGGTAATATCTGACATTAGTAAAATGAAGTTAGAAGGAAAATTTGTATATGCTCTAAAAATATCATACACGTTATGATGCTATTCCAGGCAAGCATTCCACACGGATTAGTTTGAAGAACTAGGCGTAATGCTTCATGACTCCAAGCGGTTTTTAACAACGGTCGATTGAGGTCAGATTTATCGGTTCTGCAATCACCTCTAACAATATAGTAATTGCTCCAGTTGGTTGGAGATGGTAGACGAATCCGTGAAGGAATGCGTCCAGAAACCGCCTCCAAAGTTGTTTATGTACTAGTGACAATTGAGCGAAATAACTTATAGATGTCTCAACACTGGAGCCACATTTTTCATAACTTTGAAAGTCTTGTTTTTCTTTGAAGTTCACCCTGTAGATAAGAATGACACACATATCGTGTATGGGAGTATTTCCGATTATGTTATTTGAAGTAACAATAGTTCAGCTCATCGTTCCAAACAAAAAACATAATCAGTTATGAGATCACCGTATTATGTTGCCTGGAGAAAAAAAATGTACATAACCATGAAGAATAAGAGTTAGGTAATATTAAAACTGGATTTGCCAACTAACAAAAGTTAGTAAAATGCCATTAGGTTTAAAACACTAATATCATTGAACATTACATGAGTTTCGGAGAAAGAAACTCAAATATAAAGTGCTATGGTGCACATTTTTAAATGTTGTCACGACAAAAAAAAATGCAGCTAGCCGTGAGGAATAAGAGTTAGGTAATATTAAAACTGGATTTGCCCAACTAACAAAAGTTAGTAAAATGCCAATAGATTTAAAACAATAATACCATTGTACGTTATGTGAGTTTTGTGTAAAGAAACTCAAATATAAGGTGTTGTGGTGTGTATTTTTAGCAAAATTGTATATATTTCTTGTTTTCCACCACCAAAACATTACCAATTCAGGAATGGTGTTCTTTTTAGTGCTAATGCCAATGAATTTTGTTTGTTACATATTTTTCTTCTTTGAAAGTAATGTCAATGCTATTTCAACACACTTTGTTTCTCTTTTCAAGGCATGCAAGAGGTGAGGGGATCATACCATAGGGCTTGGGGAGATTTTCAGAGGATTATCCCACTTGGGCTCATAATCCCCAAAAATCCTGAAGCTGGTGTTTGGTGTGCAAGGCTTTTACTAACCCCAAAAATCCCCTTCGACCCCCTTAGTTCCACGAGGTATATGTAATAGTGTTAGTCCAGCCAAAAGAAATTCTATATGTCTGAACACTTGGGCGACAACTTTGATAACTTTGCAGATAACAACGGCAAAGCATCTCATGTAGGGCATTATTTTTTATTATGTTATTTGAAGGAACGACAATTGAGGTCATCGTTCCAAGTAAAAAACGAAACCAGCTACGAGAGCACCCTATTATGTCACCTAGAAAAGAAAAAGAAAAACTTAAATAATTGCTTCCTATATGCTATTCCCTCACGTCGGAGGGGGTAAAAGAAATTGGTTAGGGCCATGAAGACAACAATGAAGATGATCTAACTGAGGAAGAAAGCCTCATTGAAGTTAATGTTAGGGTTGGGGTGATTATAATAATAGGGTGCTCAACAAGGCGGGTAGGATTTAGAGATAATGCTTGATCATGTGACGAGCCAACTACATCCGCCAGACATGAAGAGTTGGGGAGTAACGAGAGTGTGAATGCGTGCAGGGTGGGGCGGGAAGGGTTGGAACCAAGATTGGAGTTAGAAGGCTATTGCGGCTTAAGAAGAAGTGGTGGTGGTGGTGGTGATGGTGGTAGTAGTAGCCGTCATCGTCACGCAAGGACGACAACAAAATTTAACAACTCATACCAAATTGCGTTTTAATAACAAATGTAGATAAACCCTTAATCAAGTTTAAACTCGTCACTCATGCGGCATGTGGTACAACATGGACCCTCTTTTGAGGGTGATATACAACATCAATATTGTAGGTACCTTAGTACAAGTTTATTACAGCATCTGATCGAGAAGCCTTGATCCGATCAGACCAAACCAAACCATAATAAACGAAACAAGAGGACTGTAATACCATGCGTGGTCACACACGGCTTACCTTACATCGGGCGCCATTGCAACCTCCGTAAAACGTTAAGCTATAGCTACGTAGTACATGCCGCATTTTGCATGTCTAAACCTTCCCAAACAATCGCATGCATCCATCCAGGCCCCATGCGCGCATGCATGCGATCGAAAAAAGTGCGTACGTACCAAATCAAATGTACGCACGGCTCACTTGACCGACCGTAGTGGTTTCGCTTAGCTGGCGGCGTGGACGAGCGGAGACTGGGGCGACAGCAGCGCGGCCATGGGGCTGGAGAGCGCGTGGTACTGCGACGCCATGGCGCCGTGGCGCTGGAGGCTGAGGTGGAGGTGGCTCCTGGCGGCCCAGCGCTGGGCCTTGGCCTTCTGCTGCTGGTGCTGGCGCACGAAGTCCCGGATCCGGCTCAGCGCCACCCCCATGGTCTCGTCGTCCATGTTGGCGTGGCAGACGCGGAACCACCCGGGCTCGCCGCAGTGGAACGACGTCCCCGGCGACACGTTGAGCTTCACCTTGCGGATGATCACCCGCCACAGCTCCAGCTCCGCCTCCGCCGTCTTCTCCCGGAGCATGCCCCGCAGGTCCATCCACGAGAAGAGCCCGGCGTTGCCGCCCAGGCACCCGATGCCCACCTCGCGGAGCCCCGACGTGAACAGCTCGTGCCGCGCCGCCAGCCGCCGCGCGCTCTCGCGCAGGAACCGGGACATGAACTCCTCGTCCCCGAGCATCTTGGCCAGGAAGAGCTGCGTCTGCGAGGACACCAGGCCGAAGCTGGACATCTTGCGCGCGCAGGCCACGACGGCGTCGTTGTACGAGTAGACGATGCCGACGCGGAACCCCGGGAGGCCGAAGTCCTTGGAGAGGCTGTAGGCGATGTGGATGAGGTCCCGGTCGGCGCCGGGCGCGTCGTGCTCGATCACCTCGGCGATGCTCACGTACTCCGGCTTGGCGAAGACCGACCCCGCGTAGATCTCGTCGCAGATGAGATGCACGCGGTGCTCCGTGGCGAAGGTGGCGAGCATGGCCAGCGTGGCCCGGTCCGCGGTCGTGCCCAGCGGGTTGGACGGGTTGGTGATGAGGATGCCCTTGACGCGCACGCCGCTGCTCCGCGCGCCCTCGTACGCCGCCACCACGGCCTCCCTGGTGATCCTGAAGTCGTTGGAGCTGTGGCACTCGATCGGCAGCAGCTTCACTCCCGACCTCCAGCAGCAGTCGCGGTCGAATCTGTGATCGGAAACGAAAGCGCACGTACGTCAGGCCTGATGAAACAACTCGTCGCGTGCATGCATGCGTACGTTGTTGCGCTATGCATCTTTACTCCATTTGAATTTTATTGGTCATCAATTGACCGTGCGTAGGTCAGAGACGTTAACATGCGTTAACCAAAAGGTCACCAAAGACCAGACCGGCTGCTGTATATGCAGGCTAGGTTGCGCCACTCAACTTGAACTTGAAGGCATGAAACCAAGAACTTAGGATCCTACTTGGATTTGATTTTATTTCAAGGAGACTGAAAAGCTGTCGGCCTTTTCGTCTGGAAGGCTAGCTATTCCTCGTTGACACTAGATTAGTCTTCCTTCCGAGCCCAAAATGATTTTCCTGACATGTACACATTGTCTAAATTTTGACCCGATTTTCAGGGTCTGCGATTGACTTCTACGTGCACGAGAGGCGGACATGCACCGAATTCAGTTGCTGTCAAGGGGTTGACGAATGAAGCGTACCCTGGGTAGTAAGGCGTGGGCACGAGGAAGGCCTCGCCGGGGTTGGCAAGGCAGAAGGCGAGCGTCTCCTGCGCGCCGGTGGCGCCGCCGCTCATCACGACGCGATCCGGGTCAAACCTGGCCTTCCACCCCCTCACCTGCCCCATGAACTGGGCCATCGCCTGCAGCAACAGAGACAAATCGCATATTGGTTAGCAAAAATGATCCGTCAGGGGCGCTGCTCCGTCGCTTTCGCGCTCGTCAGCAGCTATCTTATCATTAATCTTGTCCAATTATATCACCGGCTACTTTGTCTTATGCGTGTTTCTGCTCACCTGTCTGAACTCCGGGAGGCCGTGGTAGTCCTGGAAATTGGCGATCCTCTTGAACTGCGAGGCGCCCTCCGCCGTGCAGATGGACGCCTCCGGGTGGGCCTTGCTCCACTCCTCGATCAGGTCCAGCGAGAGCTGCAGCAACACCGACGATTAGCTTCATGCTTTGTAATGGCGAAAGATGAACAGCAAATATTACTAACACTGTGTTCAACAAGGACTATAGCACGTACTTGGTTCTCGGCGAGGCCCATCTGGATGACGCCCCCGCGGTTGTCCTGCGGGTGGAAGGGGTTCATGTCGTACGCCTTCCACCCGTCGAAGTAGGACGAGTTCTCGCCGTGGCCGTCGCCGGCGGCCATCCTCGACAGAAGCTCGGCGGATCTGCTTGCCATCTGCGCTCTCTGGTTTCCGAGGATCTGGTAGCTAGCCGAGTAGAGAGAGAGAGGCAGAGGATGGGAGAGGCCAAGAATGTTATGCGCTGATCTAGCCGATGAAGCTTCTTGAGCTTGCTAGGGAGATTGGTGGAGCTTCTTGAGCTTGAGCTGGCGAGGGAGGGAGGGAGATGAATGGGTAAGCTGCTCGTTGGTGCCTATTTATAGATTCGTGGCCGCTGGCGCTGGCGCTGCCCATGGCGCGGTAGAGACGCAGGTCAAGGGACAGCACTCTGCCTCGCGAGAGAGAGAAAAAAGGGACAGCGCTTTGGCATATGCGCGCATGGCGGGGAAGAAACTTCCGTGAAAGCGAGGGCGGGTGGAGCCGAAGACGCAGCAGCTAGCTGGGCCAGATGGCGACCTCTCAGGCCCCGCCCGTCCTTCCTTCTACCACCCTCCGGCCCGGCCAGCTGACAATGGCGATATAATCCATTGGCTTATTGATCTCCGAAGAATATCTGCGATCCAAGGCGGGCGACGTGACCTGACGATGGACGTGCGGTCGTAATTTTTGAAGCTTGCGCCGTACCAACAGGCGAGCGCGCCCATGTGGGGCTCGGAGAAAAAACCCGTCCCGTCGCCGGCGGTTCGATCTGCGGCGTGCGGGCTGGCGACTTCGCCGGACGACGGATGGCGACGGCGGTATCGTCGGCTCGATGTTGAGTTGGTCAAAACGAGAGAGAGAGCTAGCGCAACCGGCGCCAGCGCCACCGGCGGTTGGAGCTCGTGTTGGACGGGGCGGGGACTGACTAGCAGCCCACAATAAATTGGGAGGGTTCGAGAAAACAGCAGTTAATTTTGCCGTGGAACGTATGCTTGCAGGAATGAATCTGCTCGAAACTTGTCTGCAATTTGGCCGCACCGATCAAACTAGGATGTGACCAGATCTTATCGAGTGAACTGAGACTTAATCAAGTCTAAGCCAAATGACATAACGTGATTTTTTTCTATAAGGATCTCTAAGGAAAATTTCATGAATATAGCATCGACCGAGATTTGGTTCGACTGAAATATAGGCATCCCGATCAAACTACCCTTCCTCCAAGCTCTAGCGTACGTACCTGTTCAATTTTCTGTGTTTTGCCTATACTTTTGGTCGACCATTTTTAACTCTTTTTGCGACAATATAAACTCGAAACAGATCGCACCGTCGCGTCCTGAATGGCTAGCCATCTTGTGCGCAACTAAACTAAGCTTGGGTCGCACACCAACCGAACCGAATATATGCGCACGCACGGAGGCACACAGCACAGCGCAGAGGCGGAGCTTTGGTCGTGTGGCGGTGCGCGTAGGTTCGTTCTTCCAATCAATCAAAGAGAAAGTGATACTCCTACTACGTTTTTGTCATATTTGCGCTTCCGTGTGGCGGTGTCCAAGATCTCCAAGAGTTGCGACGCATCTGCATTTCTACCTCGTTTGGTGTAACGATTTTTCTTTCTCCTCGCCCGGCCCTCGCGGGTGCAAGAAGGGAGTTTTGGGGCCGACAACTTGGCATGGAAGTCGCCGAGGTAGGTTCGATCTTTATTTTCACGTGACATTTGTAGTCAGCTGGCCAAAACAGCTTGATGGCTTAGCTCGTACGTGGTGGTTGCCCAAAGCAATTCGTGGCCGATTTGGGCACCGCGGTGACCACATTGTTTGCGCGGCAAGCTAGCAAAAAGGTGCTAAGCATTGTGATCGTGCATAATAGTGGCACCACGCATGTGCTGAAACATTGTGATCGTGCATAATACTGGCACCACGAAGAGTGCTGGAACGTCGTGACGGTGCTAGTACAAGGACATGCAAAAGCGAATCCAACAAGATCATTTTCTGGCAAGAAGGTCTATGTTATAAGAGCATCTCTAATAGTCTGTCTATACTCGTTTTTCACGACGTGAGCTTAAAACAGACGTCCAACAACTTATCTACATGGTCGTCCAAATATACACATCCTCTAAATCGACCTCGACAATGTCCATGTCTGGACAATATGAAGGCGTCGTCTAAACTCACCTGTAGTCATGTTTTCGCCCTCTCCCCAGCGACGGCCCGCCTGTCATGGTACATGTATATAAACGTTCTGATGCAACACTAGACGTGTATATGAGGGAATTTTTTTAGACCATTGTTTATATGAATATATAGACATCTAAATATACACATGTTATTGAAGATGCTTTAAATGAACCACGTAGTACTGGCAGGCTCCATCTAAAAAAATTACAGTGGCACGCAGTACTTCTTTCTTTTTTGCGGGGAAAGTGGCTGGCAGTTCATGACTGTGAGAACGATCAAACACACCAGTAAGGGCATGTACAATGGTTGATAAGACAGTCTTATCTTAAGTCTTGCATGCAATTTAGAGATGACAAAAAAGTATGTCTACAATGGATTATATCTTAGCCTTATCTTCAATAATTAGCAATTCCTTAAAATATGGTGAGACAAATTGTGCTAAGAGATCATCTCTTGTCTTATCTTAAATAAGAGAAGACAAGCCTTTTCTTACGAGTTCTCTCTCCTCCACCTCATCATTAATCCTACGTGGCACTCCTAAGATAGCACCATTGTACATGCCCTAAACGCTACACCCGTGACAGGTCCAAAAATAATAACTAATTCGTGACGGTTTTGGCTACCTCGCGACGACTGACTTTTGGCAAGACTATTTCGCCCGTCTGCTACGGCTGTCTTAAATGCGGAGGTTTGACGAATTTTCTTGTCTGACATACGTGGTCAAACCCTAAATTAGTGGGTTTTTTTTAACTTAACCCTAAATTAGTGTTAGTCAATGGGGGTTGACAACTTTCCTGGAGTAACGATACAACAACGATGCGCGCAATTGATTGGAAGAAACAACAAGAGGATGTTTTTTTAACACAGTATAGACGCAAGCGCTCATATACACGTGCATACACTCACCCATATGATTAATGCTAGGATGTTTTTTAGGGGGGGGGGGAGGAAAAATTAATGTTATGATGTTGTCATCTCATTTATTGTGGATCTAATACTCCCTCCGTCCAGGCTAGATATAGCATGACTAATAATATATACTGACCCTTTTATCTGGCGAGCGTCAGTGGGAATCACAACAATAGTGAACAACTTATATCACAATTGATGTTTGTCGACAATGGCAAGTTTAGTTGGCGAGCAAGGCAAATCCGCTTAAAATGCCAAAATTTGTTGTGCTTGTAAACTAAAGTCGTCGACATCGCCACGATATAACTTGTCATAAAAAACTTTCGATTCGTCATCCCCTCCCAGCGAACGTCTTTAGCATTTTCGTTATATATTCAGTGGCGCCGGGGGAGGGCCAACCCAACTTCGCCCCTCCACCGCTGCCATCAGCGATAGCTGTGGTGGTCACGGGCCACTGCTTCCAAGGTGGCAACGCACCCATGCGTCAGATCCGACGGTGATAATGGGAACCCGGAACGGCAGCCCCATGGACAGGCGCATGAGCGCTCCAGATAGCGTGACTGCAGTTGTTGCCGACCTTTATCGGCTGAGAGGGTAGTGACGAGACTGCCATAAGGCATCCCCGCATCAGTGTCTAGAGGATGACTCGGCGAGATGTAGTGTGGTTTCTTCCTCTCTTTGGCGGGTTCGACCTATTGGCTGGTAGCGTGCTACCACTCTGCGTGGGACGGAGGGCATGCCAACTGCGTGTTAGTGTTGCGGCTACTGGACTAGTGTAGCGCGGGGTGGCCTCAGTGGAGCGACAAATGGTGGGATGTTGTCCCATCAGTGGTTGCGGTGGTTGTTGGGATGCGATTGATGGTTGGCCGATACGAGTAGTTGGTGGCAAGGCATCTTTGGGAGAAAACCCTTTTCGACCTTCACCAATTTCAGCGGCGGTGACTTTCGTAGGCGTCGCGATCTTTCCTAAAAGCGTTTGAGGAGTTGTGCTCCTACATCTCCCCGTGACGTTGCCCCGAAGGGAAACATCTAATATTAAGGATTAGGCGATTGAGTCGTCTTCACGTCTTTCTCCTTTGTGACAACATCGCCTCGTAGAAGGCTACGACTGGGAGACACATGCTTTGGCGACGGCTTTGTCGCATGGTTTGCTAAGGCGGTTGTCTTAGGGGGCACGATGTCTGTTTGGGGACCATGATGGCGTCAAGATGAGTTCGTCCCGGCGTGTCTGATGTGTTCTTCCATGGTTCGCTTTGTAGCTGTGTAGTCGAGGCTGCGCTCGAACGTGTCCAGGTGATGATGACGACATGTTTTTGGTGGTATGGCGACGACTTGTCATGTGGGTTGCTGGCAGATGTTCTTTTCTTCTCGGCAGCTTTGTGGTGTTCATGCGGGTGGTCAGATCGTCCGATGATGCCCATGTTCATGGTAATATGACTTGGGTTGTAATGGATTTGGTCTGTTTTTTTTGTAAATTAACCGCGTAAATTCTCCCTCCCTTCTTAATTAAAGAAAATGACAAGTCTTTTGACTCTTTTTTTAAAAGAAGATGTTTCTGCATCCAAGGAGCGTGGTGCCAAATGTCTAGTCAATTTTGATAATCTTATGGTGCATATATCTGGTAAACAGGAGAACTGTTAATGCTTGGATCACACACACTAAAAGAGAGCACCAAGAATAATTAATTCTATCCGGATTTCTCTATGTGTGTATGCACCTTAGTAATGCATTCGTCAAAGGTACTTTGCGGCAAGTTAAAAATAGATCGTGTATGTGATCAATACAAGATCTTGATGCATCGGATGAAGTTGTGTCAGTTTTTCATATAAGCGAATCTTTGAAAGTTTTAGTGGAATTGGTCTGGTGCTAATTAACTACTCCTAACAGCGATGAGAAGCGGTCTTCCTCCCATGAGCATAACACATCATTAGGCACAAATTGGCAGGTGAGCTGCTCGCTAAATTACCAGAAGAGGTGTGCGGCGCCGCATCTTTTCAGGAAGGAGACTCCTTTTTGGCATTTAGCATCCCCTGGGGCCTGGGCTGGTGCATATG